TTTTTTTTTTTTTTTTTTGCAGATCAACAACATGTTGTTGGTCCAAAGAAAATTGGGGTATGTATCGACCCACCTCCTTGTGGATCTGACTGTGAGTGTGATAAATCACCTTGTGGTCACAGATGTTTGAGGGATGTGTGGGGTCTTCGTTTCTGTCGCTTTTAATATTGTATGCCATGGCATGGAACTTTTATGTTTTTCTTAATCGGAATAAAATTGTGTGTATTTGGAAATTTGTAATCGCAAATATTTAATTATTAATGGAAAATAAAGATTTGTGATTTATCAATGTAATGTCTTATGATATTGTTTACCAAAAAAATGGTGCAGCTAAATTTGTATGAGTCAAGAATACATGTTTTAGCTTAATTCATAAGATCTGGTTATTAGCAATTGAATATTTATAACAAAAAATAATGGCCTCTGTGCATGGTCCGTTCAATTATAAGACCATTAAAGTAAAGCGGAATACATAAATAGACCCCTAAACTTGTTCGATTTTTCCTCTCAGGCACCTCAATTATGCCACCTTACTATTGAATCTCTGAACCACCTATAATTTGTACCTTTTAAACATTATTGGCTGACATGGCACAAAACTTCAGCAAATATTTTTTGTTGATTATGAACGTGAAATTCACCTTTCCCACGTGGAAAGTGCAACCAATCAAAATACTCAAACTGTTGAAACAATTTACACATCAGTCAATCTTGCCAAAATAAAAATCCAAATAAAACCTAGAAAACCAAAACATTTCAATAGTTTCAATAGTTCAACCCAAATAACTCTAAGAATGGATGCTTCAATAGTTCCTTTGTTGTTGTCCTTTTGAATGGATCTTGATCAAGGCATAATCCTACCATATCCTTAAAACTCTCTGAGAATTTCTTGTAATACTTGTTGTTTTTTGTTTTCTCATTATCAAAAAATCGAAATCGCTTTGTGATTTTCATAAACAAGGACTTTGAAGGAGGGCTTGGTGATTTTTATGAACAAGGACTTTGAAGGAAAGAGATGAGACAGGGGAGGCCTTTCATGTGCTAATTCAAGAGCAGTAATACCGAAGGACCAACATCAGTCTTGAAATCGTACCCTATACATGAATGTATCACTTCAAGGGCCATTCAATATGGTATTCCAACCACATCAATGAACATTAAACACGAAGATAAGGAAGAAAATGACGACTCATAACCTAAATTTGGCTAAAAAATTGATGCAGAAACTCCAAAATTAGCTAAGCTTTATAGTTCCATTAGAATATATAAGAAAAATCGATGAAAAAGAGAGATGCTTTGAGCATCTCCAACTTGAATATGACATGAAGAAAGAAGAGAAAGAAGAGAAAGAAAAGAGAATTAAGAGAAAGAGGGAGAAAACTAGGGTTACATAGATAAAAGGGAAAGAAGACATGGTGGATTTCACATCAACTCTTTTAAATCGTCTTCACATGCTTAAGCGACATGAGAACACGTTTTGTGCCATGTCAATCAGTAGTGTTTAAAAGGTACAAATTATGGGTGGTTCAATGATTCAATAGGAAAGTGACGTAGTTGAGGTGCCTGAGAGGAAAAACTGAACAAGTTCAGGGGTCTGTTTATGTATTCCGCCTTAAAGTAATGTATTGGTGCTTTTGTGTTTTCTAAGGATGTGTTCTATATATAAATTATTAAAAAAAAACTCGGTTAAATTTGAAAAGAGAAATGCAATAGTTTTGGGTAATTATAGTGTCATTTCTTACATGATTGTCTATTTTGTTGCTTTATTTATATTCCGCAATTAATATGAATTCACATTATTTTTTTCATTCTTCTTTCACTATTTTGTTATCTTATTATTTAATAGACATAATACATAAACATGACTATTAACTTGGTGTCAACTGATAACTATGAACCTTAATTTTGAGTGTGCAGAAGTAGACATTTAAATTTGTATAAAATTGAACAATAGACACATTAAATTCGTCCTACATGGCACCCTACATGCCAATTTTGCGTCCTACGTGTACTATGTCATGTAGGACACGTGTGTCTACTTGTTTAATTATATACAAGTTTATGTGTCTATTTGTGCACACTCAAAGTTGGAGGGCCTAGTTGTTCGCTGAAGTCAAGTTAAGGATCGTGTTTATGTATTATGCCTATTGAATATTTTGAAGTCTCCCGAACGATCATACATATTACTTTACGTAAAATCTATAGCTTAACTTGCTCAATGTACTCAAGTTTAAGTGAGTTATTGATTTACCTATTCATTAGGTCAATCCATTTCATCCCATTAAAAATTAAATTACTATGTAGTTCAAATTAACTCATGAGAAATCTTATCAAAATATATTTTTATTTAATATGTTATATATAGCCATAATAAAAGGAAATAATAATTTTATTAAATTTTGGGAAAATGCATAAGTACCCCCCAACCTATGCCCAAAATCTCAGAGACACACCTAACATTTACTAAGGTCCTATTACCCTCCCGAACTTATTTTATATATAATTTTCTACCCCTTTTCGGCCTACGTGGCACTATCTTTGAAAAAATTGTCAACACGCGCTGGGCCCACAAGATAGTGCCACGTAGGCCCAAAAGGGGTAGAAAATTATATATAAAATAAGTTCGAAGGGGTAATAGGACCTTATTAAAGGTTAGGTGTGTCTTAGGGATTTTGGGCATATGTTAGAGGGGTACTTATGCATTTTCCCTTAAATTTTTAATAAAAGAGATAAAGTAATTAAAATGTAGAGTAATACAAATTGAGCGAGTTGAGTACCCATATTTTAACCCATTTCAGCCGAAATAACATATTTATTAGGCTTAAGTCATCTGTGGCCCCTTAAAGTTGTCCGTATAATTCATTTAGACACTTCAACAAACCTTGTTTCCTATTAGACACTCCAACCTTAAAAAATAAATACCTATTGAATATTTTTCTGACACTTAGTCAAAAACGAAAATGTGTGTAATACACATGCATATGATGTGGCAAAATAGCAAATCAAATGAAGACATGTGGCATTTTATTTTAAAATAATTATAAAAATGAATTTTAAATATAAACAAGTCAATCTTAAAGGAAAAGACTTTAAACTTTAAAAAAAATAAACTAAAAAAAGGAAAGAAATTATACACCCCCTCACCCACCCCCGCACCCCACTCCACCCCACTCCACCGCAAGCCTCTCCTTTTCTTTCTCTAACAGCTCCACCATTGTTAATTCTCCATTTAGAAAAATTAGAGGTTTTAACATATATTATGTATGAATTTGTCATTTTTATTTCTTTTTATTTCTTCTTTCTTATTTCCATTTAAATTGATAGTGTTTTCTTAAAGGGAAAATGCATAAGTACTCCCGAAATCTCAGAGACATACTTATACAATACTAAGGTCGTATTACCCTCCCGAACTTATTTTATAATTAATTTTCTACCCCTTTTCGACCTACGTGGCACTATCCTTGAAAAAATTGTCAACACGCGCTGGGCCCACAAGATAGTGTCACGTAGGCCGAAAAGAGGTAGAAAATTATATATAAAATAAGTTCGGAGGATAATAGGACCTTAGTAAAGATTAAGTGTGTCTCAGGGATTTTGGGCATAAACTGGGGGTACTTATGCATTTTTCCTTTCTTAAAAGATCTATTCTTCCTTTGTTTATTTTGATTTCAAATTTGTTTTTTGTTTTTTTCTGTTTCTACTTCGGTTTGTAAGTAAGAAGGGGTGTGGGTCAAGGTGGTGTGTGGCGGGAGAGGTGAAGAGGGAGAGAGAAAATATTCGAATAATGATCTTCATTTTTTCCGACAAAGAAGATGCAGATGCTTTCCATTTTTTCCAGCAAATAAGACATCTCCATTTTTCCGATAAAAGATTGTGGATGGTGATATCCATACGAAAGTAGACAATGATAAGAATATTTAAAAAAGAAGAAGAAGAAAGCAGGAAATTTGTAAAAAAAAAATGGCCATGGATTTGTGAAGAAAAATGATTGCAGCAAGTGTATGGTCTTGAAAGAGAAGAAAAATAAAAAGATTGTAATTGTTAAAAAAAAATAATGAGAAAAAAAAAATTGGAAAGGAAAAGGGAAAATGTTAAAATATTAATTTCACGCTCTCACCAAGATGTGAATCACATTTTTTGTGCCACGTGTGTAAAAAGTGTCTAAATGGTTCAAATTCGAGTGAGTAGAGGTGTTTAATAGGTATTTGTCCTAGTTGATATGTCTAAGTGAATTATACAGGCAACTTTGAGGGGTTATAGATGACTTAAGCCTATTTATTAACTCAACCCAGTTTAATCTATCTAAATTCAGTCCAAACAATCCATTTGATAGGGGGCTGCATATTCCTAGTGTTGCGTCCCTTGATCCTTCAGCCCATTCAAAAACTTAGAATGGGAAACATAAAATTTGCCATTGAAATGAGCTACTTTCCATCAGCAATTGCAAGTTTTGGTATGGTAGGGATCTCCATTTGTTTGTGGGGGGTCTCCAATCCGAATTCAAGTCGTTATTTGTAGACTGGAATATACCCTACTGCTAACAGGATTGAAAATGAACTCTTCAAAAATTATTGGTCCGATCGGTCTGTATTAAAGAAGGGATCACATAAGTCAGTCTAGAGGACTAGTTAGGTACGAGTTAGTTAGGGTAGTTAGAAGATGCTTTCCTGTTTCTTGTATATGTAGATCTCACTGGATTAATTAACGAATGCATTGAAATTTCATCTTCTCTAAGTTCATAGAACATTCCAGACTCTTGGAATTGTTCATCACAATATCCCAATTCAGGATATTGAACAGTCTGCTCTCAACTGTAAGTGCTCCAACTCTTGTTGTTGTAGAATCTATTCAAATCACTACTTGCAGTAGTTATTGTAATGTGATTTCTTATGTCTTTAATTAAAAGTAATTGGAAGAAAATTTTGTTTCTATCGAAATGAAGACTGAAGATGATTCTGAGCCACTGGTTTGAACCTAGGTAGACTGTTAAGCCATACATACCGATCAACATCTTCTAAAGAGATCACTTGAACTAAAGAGATTAAATTTCATTGAAGAAACTTATTTTATAGTAACTGTTACACATACCGGGCAAACAAGACTGCAGAAAAAGTTATTAGTAATACAAGTTTCAACAATGTGGCTTTAAATAAACACAGTTTGTTAAAAAAGCATATACAATACTGAATCGACTGCGTTATCTTTTCTTTTTTTTTGCACCTTAATACTTCAGACTTTTGTTTTGCGGTTTTATTCTTTAATTGCAACTCCTTTCTTTGTTTCTTTCCTCAATGCATGCATATTCTGGACAAACTTTTCTCTCTCTTGAGTGAGGTGGGGTTGGGCCAATGACATACTGAATAAGAAAGAGAATTTACATTGCTGATAAGAATTTGTAATATTATATACATTTGAAGGCATCAGGGATAATCGAATTACTCTTGTACTTGATTGCTAAGGCCTACTACGTTCTAAAGCAAAATTATATATGTTTTTGAGTACAAATACTTGTAAGTTTTCCACCTTTTGTCCTTACTATTATAGAGAGGACATTGACCAAGTACCAACGCACAATTATCCGTAGACTCTTAGGACCAAAGTAGAGGTCAACTAGGGATTAAGCAGTACAATATTGCTCGTCATTAAATCCTAGTGTCACTCCTAGCCCATTCCATGCAAATTAAATGGCTTCACTATTCCTGCTAACGTCCTTCTTCAACTGTAATCGTCACCTGATTGTTGGATACAATGTATTTCTTATCGGAGGAAGAAGAAGATGTGCTAGAAGCATGTGTCCTTATTACAAAAGCTGGTCTATTAGGTGTTGGAAGGTTAGCACCTTCCCCTCCCAGCATTAAAATGACATCTGACATATTAGGACGATGATTTGGATCATCTTGTACACACAGGAGCGCAATATTTATGCACTTTATTGCTTCACTTCTGTTGCATGATTCAAGTAATGACTTCTCTATTAATTGTGTCTCAGCTTTTTCTGTCCACAATTTCCATGCCTGAGATAATTTTTCTATCAGAGAAACAAAGCTAAGAAGAAGATATAATAATTAAGTCATGGGAAGTTTCTTCACTTACATAGCCCAACAAGTTTAAGGCTTCTTCTGACTGATAAAATCCAGTATTCCTTCTCCCACTGATTATCTCAAGTACGACTACTCCGAAACTGAATACATCTGATTTGATGGAAAACAATCCATCCAATGCATATTCTGGAGACATATAGCCACTAGATTTCACCAGGTCAACAAAACATTATGTATAAGATTTTCTCCCAAGCTCCTTTTGTAAGAAATTAATGACAGGAAAGAATATTATACTTACTAGGTCCCCACTATGAATATTATACTTACTAGGTGCCCACTATTTTCTTTGTATTTGCTTCTGTTACTTTTCCTTCAACAATCCTTGCCAAGCCAAAATCTGAAATTTTCGGGTTCATCTCCTCATCTAATAAAATGTTACTGGTTTTTAAATCTCTATGAATGATCCTTAGTCGTGAATCATGGTGAAGATAAGATAGACCCCGTGCAATGCCCAATATGATGTCATAACGTTTTTTCCAATCCAATAATTGACAAAGTGCTCCATCTTGCATCATAACCATGAAAAAATTTGGTAGGTCAATAAAATTAGATCATTATAAGAAATGTAAGACTTTGAGAATAAGGAACTTAATAAGGCTAACTCACCAAATATGAATGTATCTAAACTTTTATTCGGCATATATTCATAAAGTAGTATTTGTTCCGTTGCATTGATGCAATAGCCCAATAGCCTCACCAGATTTCGATGTTGAAGCTTTGCAATTAGAGTCACTTCATTCTTAAATTCATCTATGCCTTGTCCTGATTGACTGGATAACGTTTTTACTGCAATTTCCTTTTCACCCGGAAAGATACCCTGCAAGATTTTTTCATCTCATTACTATAGGTCAATGCGGTCATGCCAGTCCACATAGATGTAGGAATGAAGTTTTAACCTTGTAAACAGGACCAAATCCTCCTTGTCTGAGCTTATTTGCATTTGAGAAGTTGTCTGTAGCAGCCAAAATGGTCTCCAAGTGAAAGTATGGAACATCAATAGCTTCATCACTGTTTTCTTTCATCAACACTTTCGCTTCTCCTTCAGCTTTGTGCCAAAGAGATATATGTGCCCCTTGAGTACCTTTACTTTTATCTGATTGAGAATGACCTTTGAAATTAAGTTCAAAATGGTATAAAAGAAAATATCTTCCAGAGTAAGATTCATTCATCAAATACCTGCTTTTTTTGCCATCCTTCTTCTATAGTAAATGTAGCAAAAGCTGGCTATGAGTAGAATCATCAAAGCTATTATGGACGAAAGAATTGCTTTTAGCTTCATCAATTTCTTAGCTTTAGTTTGATCTGAAAGTAGAAAGCCAAAACCATGTCAGATATATTAACATCTATCTTGAAGGACTTTGATGCAAATATTCATTGGACCTCAGAACCTATCATTAATACTCTTTAAGAATTCTTTTCTGGCTTAAGTTTTACTTTGCTCAACCAACTCCTCAACACAGGAAAAAGAAAAGGAGAATCATTGTTGTTAAGTGCTGGTACCAAGAGAAAGCGAAATGGAAAGGACGACACCAAGCAGGATATTGTTAGCAATCTGCATGCATAGAAGGTCCTGGGTGGGAGATTTTTTTACCCCAGGATCCTTAAGAAACCTGGAATGAACTCGTTGGCGGATCTAGTGGAGATTCAATCATGGACTCACCTGTTCATGACTAAATCTCATGTAATGCATGAAGACCAAGTAATGGAGTTCTATTACAATGTGGAGTTCAATGAGGATGGAAGTCTTTATACTTTGGTGGGAGATAAAATGATGCATCTAAATGAGGAGCTGTTGGGAGAGATTCTAGAGGTACCTAGAGAAGGGATCAGGTCCGTGGTTGGAAAACTTTACACTCAACACTTTGCCAATGAGTGCTCTAAGCTTCCGCATCGTGCAGGTATTCAGAAAAAGCTTATGAAAGGGGAATACTAATTGTTGTTTGAGTTTGTGAACAAGGTGGTTCTTTCTCGATCTGAGAAGCGTATAGTTGCCAATTCAGCAGATTTATTCCTAATGGAATCTATCTGCAAGTTCGACCCATTGAATCTGCCAGCACTCATGTTGGAACACATGCACAAAACGGTGATAGAACGTAAAGGCAAGCATGGAATGAGATATGGATACTTTCTCATAAAAGTGTTCGATCATCTGAAAGTTTCACTGGGACCAGGTACTGTTGGCACAGTTAAACAATCAATTTCTCTCAATACCTTAGTCGAGTGTGAGTGCATCGAGGGTCAAATAAGACGACTAAGTAAAATGTCTCACTTAGTGGCTGAACGAGATTAACTGAAGCGTGAACTGGAGGAACTAACAACACTTGTTCAGAAAAAGGATGCTGAAATGGCACTATTGAAGGCATAACTGGCCAAAGCTCAGTCTGAAGGACCTGGTACTGAAGAGGTCAAAGAGTTACGTCTGAAAAATACAGCCCTTCTGACTCAAACTGCTGATGTTCAAGAAAGGTTGATCAAAGCTCATGACTCTACCAATGACCGACTTACCTTTGTCATCAGATCTCTCACTCATCTGCCTCCTTCCTCCTAATTATCTCCATCTTTTGTCCTTGCCTGTTTTTTTTGTGTGGGCAGTGTCCCGGGTTCTCTTTAGCAGTTTATTGTCAATGTATTGAATGTTTACTTTGTGCAATGAAAAGGACTTCTGTTTTGTTGTGATGTCTTCCAGTCTAATTCTTTTTCTATGATGTGTTGCTCAAAGCTATGGTCTTTCTATGCATGCTTACTTTTAATCTTGGTTTACTGTCTCTCTTTTTTATGATGCCAAAAGGAGGAATAATGGGTGCCTTATAGACATGGGGAAGCGGATAATGAAGAGGATATAACATTATGAGTTTGTCATCATCAAAAAGGGGGAAAATGTTATTTGAAGTTTTGATGATTTGACAAACAGAGGACCTTGTAAGGGGATCTGATCCCCGTCATTCATATCCGTACAATTGACAGTTGGAAAAAGTACACAAGTTTGGTGCACGGTCTCCAAGTGTGGCAGAAACCTCAGTCAATCGCATTGCCTTGAAGGTTGTGTCTATTCTCATAAGGACTTCCACACACATACACAACCTCAGTTTTTGCAATATAGATTTTTAGAGCAAAAAGGCAAAAACCACTCTCTCAAGAAGTACTTACCAAAGAGCAACAAGGACCATATAGAGCAACTTGTATCTTAGTTGTCTTAGGTTTTTACTTCAGTTCTTATCGTTGTAAATCTAATCCTAAACTATAAAGGAATTAGATCTTTTGTCAGTTCGTCTAAAAGTCTAAACCAGTTGTGTCTAACTGGTTTAGTGGGCAACATTGTTCGTTGCTTAGTCAAATCCTAAGTCATCTAGTGTTAGGTGGGTTAGTGGGCAACCGTGGGTTGCTTAGTGAATTCTAAGTTATCTTGTGTCAGGTAGCTTAGTGGGCAATTGTGATATTGCTTAGTTGCTCTATTTGTAGTGGAAATACTACTTTTACGGGGAAGGGATTTAGAGGTAAATTCCTAGGTTGCAAGTTGTTGTAATCTGAATCGTTGCTCTATTTAGAAGAAATGGAGTTTGGTTTGAAAAGTTTGTGAGGACAGGTCGTAGTTTTCACCGCCCTTAGAGCAAGGGGGTTTCCACGTTAAGTGCTTGCGTTGTTTTTGTTGTTTTACTTGTCTTACTGTTGTTGCTTGCATTATTGTTCTTAACGTGTCAAGGGACCTGGTCCATTGACTTTTAGTGGACGCCTGTATTCTAACACACTTGATGGTGTGTTTCAAGTGTTTGTAACTCGATATGGTATGATCAATATTGTCTTTAAAGTATTTATTTCCCAAATTGGTATATACTGTTCTGATTTGCAAATTGGAAATACACTTAATCAGAAACGGTTTCAAAATATATAAATGTGTCTTTTAATTTTGTCCTCCAACTTTGGGTATATATATGTACAAGTAGATACTTAAACTAGTATAAAGTTAAACAAATAGACACATGAGTCTTAAGTGGCATAATACACATAAGACACCATGTAGAACACAAATTGTCATATAGGATATTAGGTAGGACGTATCCGTCTATTTGTTCAACTTTATACAAGTTTAAGTGTGTACTTATGCAAAACCAATGTTGAAAGGCATATGTAAAATGAAGACAAATTAAATAACATATTTATATATAATACCATAACAACTTCACAACTAGGTTCATAATCAAATAATTATAATATCTAGTAAAATATTAAAATATATATAAAACCTAAACAAAAACTACTAGATTTACGTGAATCTAGAAATAATATTATTATAATTAGTTCAGTTTTTTCAAAAAATTATATATCGAACATTAGAACATGTTTTTAATTTTTTTTTTTTTTTTTTGCAGATCAACAACATGTTGTTGGTCCAAAGAAAATTGGGGTATGTATCGACCCACCTCCTTGTGGATCTGACTGTGAGTGTGATAAATCACCTTGTGGTCACAGATGTTTGAGGGATGTGTGGGGTCTTCGTTTCTGTCGCTTTTAATATTGTATGCCATGGCATGGAACTTTTATGTTTTTCTTAATCGGAATAAAATTGTGTGTATTTGGAAATTTGTAATCGCAAATATTTAATTATTAATGGAAAATAAAGATTTGTGATTTATCAATGTAATGTCTTATGATATTGTTTACCAAAAAAATGGTGCAGCTAAATTTGTATGAGTCAAGAATACATGTTTTAGCTTAATTCATAAGATCTGGTTATTAGCAATTGAATATTTATAACAAAAAATAATGGCCTCTGTGCATGGTCCGTTCAATTATAAGACCATTAAAGTAAAGCGGAATACATAAATAGACCCCTAAACTTGTTCGATTTTTCCTCTCAGGCACCTCAACTATGCTACCTTCCTATTGAATCTCTGAACCATCTATAATTTGTACCTTTTAAACATTATTGGCTGGCATGGCACAAAACTTCAACAAATATTTTTTGTTGATTGTGCGCGTGAAATCCACCTTTCCCATGTGGAAAGTGCAACCAATCAAAATACTCAAACTGTTGAAACAATTTACACATCAGTCAATCTTGCCAAAATAAAAATCCAAATAAAACCTAGAAAACCAAAACATTTCAATAGTTTCAATAGTTCAACCCAAATAACTCTAAGAATGGATGCTTCAATAGTTCCTTTGTTGTTGCCCTTCTGAATGGAGTTCTCTTAAAAGTGATAGTACTAAAAACTTCTCATGAACTCTTTTGGAAATCGGTGTTTCCTCTCATCTTAAATGTAAAAACATTTACTCTTGGGAATACTTAGTTCCCATATATCATTTTAAAGAAAATGAACTCAACTCTGCTCTTCCTCAAACTCAAATGCTCAAGTCTTAAAATAAGTTTTAAAACAATGTAAAAGACTTCTCGAAATGACTCTAATGAACTCTCAAAACTTGACTCTTAATTGAATTATGAATTATGAATTCAAGAGTTATGATTTATGATATGAAGGATATCATGATGATTAAATGAGTTTTAGATAGTTAATGATGAGAAACGGTCGAAGAACACTGTCTGGGGAGCAAGTTCGCAACACGGAGATGAATTATAATATTTGGTTGCGAAATAACTTTTGAAACAGTGGAGTCCGTGTTCTCTCCGTGACGTGGAGAGAGAAATTTCTCTCTAGGGGAGCAATTCCGCGACGTGGACTTGGGCGCCAATTTCATGCCCGATTTTTTCTTCTTCTCCCAAACCTGATTCAACTCGTACCCACTAAAATTCTAAGGTAAAAACTCTCGAATTCCTATAACTCAGAACAATTCCAGCGGAACTCACTCGAGAACTATCAATTTACTCAACCCCTTAACAAAATCTTCATCTCAAGAACTCAACCAAACATCAAGATTCAAGAATGAATAACAACTCATCAAGAAACTCATCAAGAACTTAATTCCTCAATCTCTAGGGATGAATTTGGAAATGTAAAAATATGATTGGCATGTGGGTGAACGAACCCAACACTATGAAAAACTTACATACCTCGATTTGGCGAAACAAATCCTCAATTTGCACGAACCTTGATCGTTCTTCCTTTTCTCCTCTTTTCCTCTTCTTGAACTCTCTTCTAAAATCCTAAGCGGAATTAGGATTTGTAAAACTGACTCAAATCAAATTTGACCCCAAAATAATACTAAAAATCGTTTTAATCTGATTGGGTAAGGAAAAAACCAAAATACCCCTCATTAATTCGGGTAACTTTCCTTAACTGGACATGCTAACTTCAAACGGGCATATCTCCCTCATACGAGCTTGAAATTTAGCAAACTCGGTGGCGTTGGAAAGAGGATTCCAAGACCTTTCATTTGATAACTTATGGGCTACCTAACTCATCCTGTACTGAAAGTTATGACCATTTGAAGTTGATCCAAAACTCACAACTCAAGCATAACTTGCAAAATTTCAAATTAGTTTCTTTCCAAATTAATTCTTTCTAAATATAGCTCTTTCTAAGGCAGGATTATATGTATGTATATGATTTTGTATGTGTATATATTGTTGGGAAAAGGCATAGATTCCCCCTTGAATTTGTCCCGAAAAGTTATTTACACGCTTTAACTATCCTGATGACCTATTACACACCTGATTTTGTTTAAAGTGATATTAATACCCCCTTAAAAGATGGCATGGCAAAGAAAGCGTCTTCACCCTCTTTAAGGTGCGTGAGAAGAAGAAAAAAAAAAGTTAAAATGATAAATTTAAACATGTGAAACTATCTTATTGGTCATTATATAATTAAGTATTATAATTTTTAGTATATTAATTATGTCAATAATCTTTTTTTTTTGTCTTTTTATTAGTGGCCTCCAATTTTTTTAAAAGCTTTTACATTTTTCTTTCTTTTGACTTCTTCTTCTTCAACAGTTCTTCACTTTGTCACCATTAATAAGTTCTTCACTTTATTCCCATGAAAGCATATTCAAACCCTTACAGAAGAACTCTAAAAAGAAATAGAAAGAAAATGATTGTTCTATCTTCGTCTTCTCTATTCTTGCCGGCACCTCCAACCATCACAATGTCATTTTTGTCTCAAGCGGCCATCAATAGCATATTTGATTATTCACTATGCACAAATAATACAAATGAAATGCTTAATTTCATCCATAATTATCGATATTTTTAAAGAAAATTACAGATTTGAAAGTAATTTTATAGATCTGAAAGTTTTTATTTGTTTCACTGGCAACAATGGTGTTGCCCACGGCGTATCACCGCTACCAACATCTCCATACTTCATAATCGTCTGACTACTTCCTATTTTATCTTCAAATTTTCTCGTTTCCCCTTCTACTTATGAAGAAGGAAGAAGAAATGAATTTAAAAAATAAAGAGATGTATGGTGTGGGGAGGAAGAACACACACAAAGTAGAAATTATTAAGGGAAAAAAGTTAAAAAATATAAAATAATATTATTTCCGTTTTCATCAAAACGCATGTATAACATTTTCTCACACAAAATTGAGATTGTCTTCGGAAGGGGGAATTAATATCATTTTGAACAAGATTAGGTGTGTAATAGGTCGTCATGACAGTTTAAGCTTGTAATTGACTTTTCGAGACAAGTTCAAGGGAGAATTTATGCCTTTTCCCTATATTGTATATGCATAATATATACACATGATCTTTAACTTGATTTCAGTGGATAAATATGATATTTAACTTTGTGAGTGCACAAGTAGGTACTTTTACAATTTAAAACTTGAACACAAAGACTCAATTTAACCTTTGACGTGCGTGACTTGCATGAATTTTAGTATTTTGCTCCAGAAGAGGTTCGCTTGAGTCACCGGCGATGTCTCCGGTCAGATCGATTGAAGTTCAATTCTGTCTCTCTTTCTTCTATTATTTGTTTGTATTGATTGTAATTGAAGCAAGGATGGTCTTGAATGAATCATTAATTTATCAATAAGATATCTTAAGAGTAAAATTGGTTCAATTAATATTTGGTTTGGGGGATTTCGTCCAATTGAAGGACATTTGTTAAATTTCATAACAATAAGAGTAAAATTGGTTTGATAGTATAACTAAAGACAAAGTTAACTAATAAATGAAAGTAAAAAAGGTATCTTTGATCATTTTTTCCTTTATCCCTTGTGACTTTGATTAAAAAGATAGAAGTATATTATAAAATGTATGAGTTTTTAGCCAAAAATATTCCTAAACTATACCCTCAACTTAAACTACATCCTTAAATTATCCTTCTTAACAGAAAATATCCCCCAAGTATTTAAAACTTAACCACTTTCATCCTTTTGTTAAAGCTTTTTTCACATAATTTCATTATCCGTTGGAAAAAGCTCCCCCACCAAAAAAATAATTAATTTTTTGAGACATTTATTTGCTGAAAAGAAATAAAGGTAGGATGGTGTTGCAAAGAGACATGATCTACTCTTCTCCTTTATCAACTTAACGAAGCTGAAGCTTAATTTCACATCATCTTTACCTTCTGTAAAGTCAAAATGTAATTAGATCAACAATTTTTTGGGCAATTTGATGTTTAAAGTGATCAAGATTCTGAATTTCATATATGACACTCGAGTTTTGTTCTCCATTATTAAAAGTAAAAGTCTCAAATCGCCACCATTTCTTGTAGATTCAATGAGAAAAAAATATTTCAACTGGTAATTTTTTAATATCAAATCAAATGAAAAATAAATTAAAACAAAGTTGCTAATAAAAAGATCTGCATAATGCCAAGTGTTGTTGCAAAAAAGAATTCACAATAATATTTTAGATGTATCACGAAATGAAGAGATTTTTTTAATCTTTAGTGATTTAGGAAGTTTTGCTGAGAGTAGTATGAATTGCACATATTTTTGTATGAATTCTGTTAATTTGTGTCAAATTATAACAAAAGGATGGAAGTTGTTAAGTTTAAAATACTTGAAGGATTTTTTTGTTAAGAAGTAGAATAGCATGGGACATAAGTTTCATTTAGTTTGAATTACATAACATGGGACATGACTCATGAGTGTATTGGACATGGAGTAAGACTAGATATGGATATATACTTCATTTTCATAAAACCTTCGAAACTTGTCATGGTCTTAGGTTACCTTACACCTCAAAAACTTCCTTCAAGGCATGTTTCATACCTAATATTTGCCTTGTAAGATATTTCTAATGGTGTGAGTTCTTGAAACACAAATCAATACCTTTTACCTTCAATAAGACGAAACTTACCACTCTCATCACTTTTCAATTATAATTCTGACATGAGCACATCTAATTACAAAGTGTTGTGTCGTATCTAGAAAGTTTCCGGAAAAGGCATGCATGGCTTTGTCTAAACACACTGGAAAAAAACACTTTAAAAAGCATATACAATAGTGAATCAACCGCGTCTACCTTCTTTTGGCACATTCTGTCTAATAAGAATTTAAATTATTATACATTTGAAAGCATCAGGGAAAAATAGAATTACTCTTCTGCTTGATCCCTTCTAATGCCCTTCTTCAACTGTAATCGTCACCTGATTGTTGGATACAATGTATATCTTATTGGAGGAAGAAGATGATGTGCTAGAAGCGTGCGTCCTTGTTACAAAAGCTGGTCTATTAGGTGTTGGAAGGTTAGTACCTTCCCCTCCCAGCATTAAAATGACATCTGACATATTAGGACGATGATTTGGATCTTCTTGTACACACAGGAGCGCAATATATATACACTTTATTGATTCACTTTTGTTGCATGATTCAAGTATTGACTTCTCTATTAATTGTATCTCGGCTTTTTCTCTCCACAATTTCCATGCCTGTGATAATTTTTCTATCAGAGAAACAAAGCTAAGAAGAAGATATAATAATTAAGTCATGGGAAGTTTCTTCACTTACATAGCCCAACAAGTTTAAGGCTTCTTCTGACTGATAAAATCCAGTATTCCTTCTCCCACTGATTATCTCAAGTACGACTACTCCGAAACTGAATACATCTGATTTGATGGAAAACAATCCATCCAATGCATATTCTGGAGACATATAGCCACTAGATTTCACCAGGTCAACAAAACATTATGTATAAGATTTTCTCCCAAGCTCCTTTTGTAAGAAATTAATGACAGGAAAGAATATTATACTTACTAGGTCCCCACTATTTTCTTTGTATTTGCTTCTGTTACTTTTCCTTCAACAATCCTTGCCAAGCCAAAATCTGAAATTTTCGGGTTCATCTCCTCATCTAATAAAATGTTACTGGTTTTTAAATCTCTATGAATGATCCTTAGTCGTGAATCATGGTGAAGATAAGATAGACCCCGTGCAATGCCCAATATGATGTCATAACGTTTCTTCCAATCCAATAATTGACAAAGTGTTCCATCTTGCATCGTTACCATGACAAAGTTTGGTACGTCAATAAAATTAGATCATTATAAGAAATGTATGACTTTGAGAATAAAGAACTTAACAAGGCTAACTCACCAAATATGAATGTATCTAAACTTTTATTCGGCATATATTCATAAAGTAATATTTGTTCCGCTGCATTGATGCAATAACCCAATAGCCTCACCAGATTTCGATGTTGAAGCTTTGCAATTAGAGTCACTTCATTCTTAAATTCATCTATGCCTTGTCCTGATTGACTGGATAACGTTTTTACTGCAATTTCTTTTTCACCCGGAAAGATACCCTGCAAGATTTTTTCATCTCATTACTATAGGTCAATGCGGTCATACCAGTCCACATAGATGTAGGGATGAAGTTTTAACCTTGTAAACAGGACCAAATCCTCCTTGTCCGAGCTTATTTGCATTTGAGAAGTTGTCTGTAGCAGCCAAAATGGTCTCCAAGTGAAAGTATGGAACATCAATCGCTTCATCACTGTTTTCATTCATTAATACTTTTGCTTCTCCTTCAGCTTTGTGCCAGTGAGATTTATGTGCCCCTTGAGTACCTTTACTACTATCTGAAATAGAAATGGGGAGTGGGAGGGATTTCATTACCTCAATTGGATTGAGAATGACCTTTGGAATTAAGTCCAAAATGGTATAAGAGAAAATATCTTCCAAAGTTAGATTCATTCAGCAAATACCTGTTCTTTTTGCCATTCTTCTTCTATAGTAAATGTAGCTAATGCTGCCTATGAGTAGAAACATCAAAGCTGATATTGATGAAATGATTGCTTTTAGTTTCTTTGATTTCTTAGCATTAGTTTGAGCTGAAAGGAGAATCATTGTTGTTAAGTGCTAACGTTAATAAGGAATTCTATTCATAACATTGTACTAATATGAAATAAAGAATCAAAGTATGTTATACTACGCTATTCTAACCTTCAGGTGAGCCGCGTTTGACAAATATAGTCCTTTCTGATTCATTTGTGCTGAGTTGTTGCAGATTGAACAGACCCCCTGTCCAGATAGAACAGGTACCGGAACCATCATAAGTATAAGCAGTGCAAGAGCAATCGGTGAAACATGCAGATCTACACTGTGAGGCTTCCCCAACTGTGATATTAGTATCTTGAGAAGAAGGTACTCTCACAATTGAAGTTATCCATAAACTATCTGTGTCTTCAGTAATTGCATTACACTGCACCTTTTGGTCTCTTACACAGCCACCAGAGTAATCATTAGAATTCCATTCTGTATCTGATCTTTGCTTGAAACCACTCAAACAATTGCAGGGTGCATTAGCCTCACCACAAACTCCAAATGCCCCACATATAGCATAAACCTGACAAGATTCTCTTGGTTGAGACCAGAATAAATTCCATTGAAATCTATTACCCAACCATGTTAGTTGCTTAATTTGTCCCGAGACACCCATGGTGAATATTGATAAGATTGGACTATTGTAAAGGGAATATGTAAAATATGACTCATTCTCATTGTCGATGTAGCTGAAATTATGTATGTAGTTTGTCGTCATCTCAGGTATTGCGCTGAACATTCGGCTATTCCATGAACCACTTGCCCAATACTCTGTAGTCCTATTCCATTTTAAAACAAATTGAGTATTCTTTGGGTCCATTTCCATAGAATACAATCCTGGTGCTGGATCACTCGAATTCTTCCATGATACCAAAACCTGTTTTCTTTGTGTACGTTTGTCATATCCAATCTTAGCACCAGGCATAAAAGTGTGTGTTGGGTGATCAAAACTTTGCCAAAGTAGTAAGGGTGTTGATGAATTTGACACATCACTCAAAATCAAATTTCCATCATCACGAAGAAGTGCAGTAACTGAAATATCTGGATTGATGTTTCCAGCAAGTGCCGACCAAACTACGCCTTGAAATCTATCATGAAGCACCAGGTTTCCTTGACTAATTTTCATCTCAGCAGCACCATAATCAAGTGGTTTATCCCTATTTGCTACCCAAATTACTGTTTGCGATAAAATAACGTTCTTGTACCATATGCCTAGATAATATTTAAGAGAGTTACCTGGTCTGAAAAAACCAAGCTCAAATATCTCACCTGAAGAGACTAGAGTTTCACCATAAGAAAGAGATTCATTCGCAGAAATGGTGTCCCTTGCGATACAGAGATTATTGTTGAGACTGAAGCATAAAAAGAGTAGCAGAAAGTAATGAGTGTTCTTCATTTCCATGGTACGTAGAGAAGTTGATTGACTACTGAAAGAATGAGAGAAAATAAGGAGTGCAAAGTGTTTACGGAAGGAGATTTTTCTTCTTTGGAGTCCATGAAACTAGTCAAAACAAGTTTCTTGTTTTATTGCTAATAAATATACGTTGATTATTCTTACTTCTAGCATACGTTGATTGTTTCAAAATAGGTGTGGAAAAAATATCTAGTCATTCATTCCACTCTGGGTGGTTGTGATTTGTGAAAATTAAGCATACAAAAAAAACATTAATGCATGTTTGTAAAGTCATTTTGATTATCGGTTTTGGTGTAATTGAGTGTAATTACACTCTCTAACATATTTGGCTGGTCATGTAAATATTCAGCAAATAATAGGATGTAATTGACATGGGTAACTACACTCTCCGATTCTCAGGTGTAATTGATCTTTATTTTTAATGTTTCCCGTAGATGTAATTACTTAAGGATTTTTTTTATTCAATTGAGACTAGTTGTGTGAGGTTTCTATTTGTCTCGTAAAAATGTAGACTTGAATCTTACCTTTTGGGTTAACAAACTTTAGGTCTACTTTCTGTGAGAGAAAAAATCTCACACAATAATATTAACTCTTGGAAATATAGTATCAATATTTGGTGTCACCCTCCTTAATTTCGAAATGGTGGAAGTGAAACTCAAGGAAATATTTCTTGCTCCGTTCCTATTTATATATCACCATTTTAGATTTTACGTGCATTACGAAACTAAGTAAGTTTACTATTCTACTCTTATTTAATGTTTTCTTAAAGTTAAGTTTTCAATCAATGAACGTAAATTTAATTTATTTTGATTAATTAATTTGATCAATTGACATAAATTATTTACTTAATTTTTTTATGTTGATCAAATGTATATTTTCAAGATCAATAACTCATAACAATAAATAGGAAGAATAATGTCAATGCATTAATTTTGTGAAATGACAAATATTAAGAACCATCTATTTTAGTAAGGACGACATATAAATAGGAACGCAGGGAATAATAAATAATGCAAGTGGATCTCTACAAAAATGGTGTCTCCTCCTTGCAAAAGATTATCGGTAGAATGAGTGATTGTTTGAAGACAAGATAATGAAAATGAAAAAGAGACTTTTCTGCTTGGAGTTGGAAATTTTTATCTTTGGTCTACTTTTCTTTAGTCTTCCAACAGTCAATATCAACCTTCTATTATGACTAGATAAAGAAAGGTTCATTTATGGGTTTAATATTATAATTTTAAAGATTGGGGTCTGCTCTTTCTTTTTTGGGAGAGTATGCCAATATGATCTTAATGAGGTACGGGGCTTTGCATCTGACATTCGTTGGGCTTCTCTCTTCGGGAGCCTGCGCCCCGGCCTTTTTGTTCAATAAACCCCTCCGGCCGAAGACTAGTGGCCCAAAAAAGCAAAACCTCACTAGACTGAGGCCCATTGCTATAGGGGTCTCGGCTTCCATAAAAAAAAGTTAGTAACTTCTACGCTAGTCTTCACAATTACTCCACTTCCCAGTCTCAGTAGTGGTTGCAGGTGCACATGAAGAAGACTTGGATAAAGGCACATATGAGTAGCAGAATGGAAGATTGGCTTTTTAGATAAGGTTTCGTTATAAGTATTTAATTAGATTTTTAGAAAGAAAAGTTATTATTACTATTTTCAAACAAACACGATAGTAAATGATAAATAAGAAGTACTTGTCATTTCATATTAGTTTCTTAGTTTTCCTCACATGCATTACACCAATAATACTATACAATAGTTAACATGTACACATTGCATACTTTGGAAAACAACGAATCATTATCTACCCGAAGGATTTCTTCTTGAATATTCCTAGCATAATACAATCATCCCAAATACCTTTCCTAAGACAACGCCTAGCCATATCCTACCGTCAACCATAACCAGTCAGCCCATCATAGCCTAAACTATAGGTAAACCACACATTCAACCAGCTAGACTCTGTATCCGAAGACTTATGCATGAACTTCTCTGACAATCTACACGATACTATACTAGTAAATACATATCTAACTACTCAGTTAAGAAAATCTAACCTACCTGAGCGACGATCAACTGCTGAAGAACTAAGAACACGAGTCTCCGTCTTTGTAAGGGTGAATCTTGACGGACGTAGATCAGAATTCCTTAGTTTTGACCCTCCTTGCGGTTAGAATCCCTCCTCTCCAAGTTCTTCAAGCTTTGAAGGCTTTTAGAGTAACCCGCATCTATTTTATCCTTGAAGGAGGTGATAAATATAAAAGAATTCGTATTTCTGAGATTTTGCACTGCCTGATCCACTATATCGGTTGGCACGCCACTGCAGCGATGTCGCGAGGAAATTCTCGCTATGAAGGGATGACATCAGCTCAAGTCAGAAATCAATTTCCAAAATTTGTCGTATCATCCCAATTTAAATTGGCGGTGAGTTTTCAAATAAAATATTCAGGATTTCGCACGAGGTGCCTTTGAGTAACGATGGAACTGGTCATTACATTTTCATTCCCCTTTCATTATTTGATTGTCTTATTAATGAATACTAGCTAGTATATGTGCTCGCGCGATGCGCGAATAATATTGAAGCGTTATTTCTAAACACTTTAGAATGTGATATTTTGTTCGAACATGTTAAATGACATTACCTTCAAAACAAAATCAAACTGTACATCATATTGTTCCTCAATGAAATACACACCCTCTTCTCCCCACGTCCTGCCTCATCCAACATCATATCTCCCATAATAAATCTATACGAATAGAGACAATGAATCAAGTTTTAAATTGTTAATATTAATTTTTTATTATCTTCATTTGGCTTACTATAATTATCAAGTGCTCTTCTTATTATATTAATTAATACAACCAAATCTAGTTAAATTGTTAATGTATTGATCAATAATTGTGAAGTCTTCCAAATGGTCATACTTCTGTATTATGTAAAATTTATTGTTCTGTCCACAAAAAAAAAATTAGTTTTTTATGTCTTTTTCAAATTTTAAGCACCGCAACAAGTCAATGATATTTCAATATCATTATATCTACTTAAAAAATTCAATGCAACACTATTTCAGTATCATTATATCAACTTCTAAAATTCTTGAGGGAGATTTTATAATTCTAACTTGATATTATATTTTCATTGTTTACATTCTTACTTTATAAGGTTTGCGTACATCATATCCTCTCCAAACCTCACTTGTAGGATTATTGAGTATGTTATTGTTATTCAATTTATATATGTCTATAAAAAGAAAAAAAATTAAGCCCTCTCTGTGAAATTTGACTTTAGACCGCAATCTTCTTGAGACGACACTACTTTTATGAGCTTGTGGGAATATAGGCAAACCTGATAAGGCCTCTTTTACTGGATGAATATTGTTTTATCATGGATTTCAATTTGTTACCACGTAGTGGTGTATAGAGGTGACAAAATTAAACTCAATTCACTTAACTTGCTTAATCCATTCAAGTTTGAGTGAGTTATTGACTCACTTATTTATTAGGTCATTTCATTTCAGTCCATTAATAATTGGATTGATATGTAATCCAAATTAGCTCGGGAGAAATCTCGTCAAAATATGTTTTACTTAATATGTTATATATATAATAATAATAAAGAAAATAATAATTGTATTAGCTACTAAAAAATTATAGAAGAACAAAGTAAGGAAAAATTACAAGGATATTGCGTTTAAGACTTTAATACTCTTTTTTATTTACAAAATTAAGTTTTTAATTACAAATATAGAAATTTAAAGTACTACACATTTTTTTTTTTTTTTTTTTTTTTTGGGGGGGGGGGGGG